TTTCCCTAAACACAATATTATTTTGCATTCTCTCTCTCTAAAGTTTGGCTATCTGCTGGATGAAAACATTGGGTCCCAGTTTGATAATGTTGGCATGAATGCAATGGCTAACAAAGATAATGCAAGTAAGTACATTCTATACGTTGTCCTTTAAGTAGGTACACAATATTCAACACATCCCCCACTGCCAACGTTGGTGTAGAGAAGAGATGTCAAACAAAGCATGCAGGCATAGGTGATTGACATTTCTGGTGTAGATGGAACAAAACCACAAACTGCCTCAAAAGATTGTTTGACTGTCTCAGTTTCAAAACTAGATTTGGTCTGTTCATTGCGACACAAAATATTTGTGCTTAGTTAAAACAAAACAACCCCCCCCCCCAACCTTCTAATAGCAGGTCTTTAAATGTTGCATTTCTGCTGAAATTTAAACTGTTAATGGAAGTGAAAAGCAGTTCTAAAAATATGAATATCTGCAGCAGGCCTGGGATGCTTGCATGTAGCACAGCATTAATCTGTATAACTGAAACAAATGTCTTGAAATAGAAAAAAAGGCATAGTTCACACTTTATTGACATTTTCTATACATAGCTAAATATTAGCCAATACACAATTTACTTAGATTTCATATAGTGTTCATAAGTAACAATTATACACCAGCTGCTCTGACATCTCATCTACCTTCTCTTCTCTGGTAGGTGTCAAACAACTCAAGTGGGAGACGGAGCGTGACAGATGGCTTCACAACAGAGATGTGAAAAGTATTATCAAGAAGAGAAAGCAGTTCAAATACAAAGGGCTGAAAAACAAACATAAAAGCAAAAAGTCAAAAAAATAAATCATACACTTTATTATGGACCTTTTTAAACCAAGTCCCAGACTTCATTTCTACTTACATCTAGTCTTTGCGGCTAAACCATTCCATTTGGTCTCTCTCCCTGATGCCATAGTATCCACCTGCTTCTTGGTATTTGTAATAAGCTGAAAAATAAGTAAAAGGTATCTGTAGTGCCTGGGTGACAGAATGCAGGTGGAGTTTTGAGCTAATTTTCTGAGCAGGAAAAACTCTGATACGTTTCCCTAACTTAAAAACTTGTGTTTTAAACTTTTTCTAAAGTTTTCTAAATGTTAAGAGGTAATGCAAAAGCAGGGAATAATTCACTTTCAGGAATGAGATACAAGAATTTTTCTACATTTCAATCTTCTAGTTCAGGGGTTGGAAACCTGTGGCCCATGAGCTGTATTCAACCTGCAGCAGCTCAGAATATCAGTACTCCAGGAAAGTTTGGGTCAGTTTGGGTCAGCAAAGGGGTCATTCCTTGGCTCCTGCTGCCCGTGTCTTTCCATCTGCTCCTTCTGCTGAATTCCCAGGTCTCCCTGCTCTGCTCCAACAGTGAACTTTAACCCTTCCCATTGCTGTCAGCCACCTGAATTGGTGGCAAGGGTGGCAACTTGGACAGTCAGAAAGTAGAGATTTGTAGTCTGCGGTAGCATTCAAAATGGCAAATCATGATGGCCTGTGGCTGCAAATAGCCACCAACCTGTGGTCTAGGTGGCAGCAAGTAACTTACCTTCCAGCATGTATGGAAATCTCTTGTGCATTGTACGCCTGAAATCTGACAAAATAAGAAAAAGTTACAAACTCCTTTTTCTGAAAAGCTTAGGTAGTCGGTTACTAATCAAAAGTACTTGTTCTTATATTTTTAAACAGCCCTTCCTTTAAGCCACATCCCAGGTACTTTGAATATTGTTAACTGTATCATTTGGATTTAGACCCAGCCAAATAGTAGTTTACCTGGGAGACTGATCAACTCATCTGTGCTACCCAGGGCCCTAGCAGAGGGCACACTTGCCTGTTGGACAGCACGTGCAAAAGATCCTACCTCAAATGGTGGAATAAGGATGATTATGAGGGGCTGAGCAAAGGGCCTACCTCAAGTTAATTATAGCTGTGTCGAAAGGGAAGTCCTTGAGGTACTGGGTTAGATCCCCGTTATTAAATACATAAGCTCCTCTTCCAGACTGCTGTTTCCCCTCGCTGGCCCCATTTCCCTTGTCAGTTCCCACTGAGGTTGAGAAACCTATTCCAACCTCTCACAAACCTGTCTCTCAAGCTGCGCTGTTATCCCTCGACCCATAGGCCAGATCTGGCCCCTATAATCGTGTTGGGTAGTGCACAGAATGAGGCTGAAATTGGTTTCTTATTCCCAGTTCCTTTTCAAAGCTAATCTAGACCCAATAAAAACTTGTTAGTAATGAATTCCACATCCTAAAGAAACAGAACTTCATTAGCTATGTATACATACTAATTAATATGTAAAATAATATTCTACACCAAGTACAGAGCCCTAAATGAAGGTCAGATTAGGATGGGATTATGGGGCAAAATATTTCTTGGGTCACCCCAAATTTCATGGCCATGCTACTGGGGAACTGTCCCAAAGAACCCTGACTACAGTCCCACCCGGCCCAAAGCACAGTTTGGCTGTGCCAGGCTGCCAACTAACAGCCCCCATGCCTACTGTACTAAGTATAATGGCTTGAATAAGGAACTAGCATTCAGGCTGGGATTACGGCAAGAAATTCTGTTTAGGCCACCCATCAGAATACCTCTGTGCCACTGGGGGACTGTCCTGGACATCTGTGACCAGATTTCTCTGGCTCAAACTGCAGTTTGGCTGTGCCAGGCTGCCAACAGACAGCACCCCAGCTGCTGTACTAAATACATGGAACTGAATTTTGGACTGGGTTTACACCAAAAAATCCTTCTTGGGCCACCCCAGACCATGCCTCTGTGCCACCAGGGGACACTTCTGCACATCTCTGACCAGAGACTTGCCCCACTGAAAATGTGGTTTGGCTGTGCCAGGCTGGCAACAGACAGCACCCCAGCTGCTGTACTAAATACATGGAACTGAATTTTGGACTGGGTTTACACCAAAAAATCCTTCTTGGGCCACCCCAGACCACACCTCTATGCCACTGGGGGACTGTCCTGGACACCTGTGACCCGAGACTTGCCCAGCCCAAACCGTGGTTTGGCTGTGCCAGGCTGGCAACAGACAGCACCCCAGCCACTCTGTTAAGTGTATGGACCCAAATAAGGAACTGGATTTTGGCCTGAGATTATACCCAGAAACCCCTCTTGGGCCACCCCAGACTATGTCTCTGTGCCACCGGGGGATGTTTGCGGACATCTCTGACCGTAGATTTGCCCGGCCCAAAACACGGTTTGGCCATGCCAGGGTGCCACCTAACAGTACCCCAGCCACTGTGCTAAGTATATGGAACCAAATAAGGAACTGTATTTTGGGCTCAGATTATACTAGATTAGCTTTGAAAAGAAACCGGAAATAAGGAACCAACTTCAGCCTCATGTGCACAAATTTGTGGGGAGCCCCACATTCCTGGGTGCCAGATTGGGTGCGGGGCCTGATCCCAGCAGACAGGGGCCCCACAGCCTGGTCCCAGGTGGGCAGAAGCAGTGCAGGAGTCCGTTTTGGTAGCCATGTTCCCTCACAACCTTAACACATCACCAGTGCTCCTGGTGGTGCTATACCAGCCAGCGCTGGCATACGTGCTATAACATGGGTTGCATGTTGCAGCTGCCTTGCTGTTCCTCAGGGGGCCTCTGGCAGTGGGTTTTCCCAGCTGGAGCCTCCCTGCAATGCTTAGTTCATTCCAGCAACTACGGTATGACGCTTACCATATTCCTTCAAAGTCAAGGCCCGCACTTCACATCGAACGCAAGACACCCCACAAGAACAGCGATACCTCGCTCCGCGCATGCGTAGGCAGGGGCCGCCCTGAGGGCGTGACGTTGGAAACGGAGCGCACCAGAGGCGCTGAGCGGTTGTGCGCCTGCGCCAAGAAGCAACGTTCTGGGCACGGCGAAGCTCTGCACAGAGCGGTGAAGCTCTGCGAGTACCCGCCCCATGCGGGGGTTACCTTGGCTTCTGTCTATTTGCCAAAAGGTCCCGTAGGTGGCGGCGAGCACGGCCGTGTTCAGCACTACCAGCAAGCGGAACACGTTCTGGGTGAAGCGATTCATAGCCCAGCGCGAGCGGCCACCCACGTATGCTGCGTATGATCCCACGACGCGGAAGCAGAGCGCGGCCCAACTTCCGCTCTAGACTCCCTGCACCTTCCGCTGTGCCGCGCGCTACAACAGTCCCTACTCTCTGCTCCGGAAGAGGCATCCGCTTTTCCGCGCCACCCTCCGCTATTGCTACTGCACAAGCGCAGCGCCCGAGGCCGTTGGGCGCATGCGCAGTACTAGACCCCCCCCCCCCCGGCCGCGGGGCGGTGCGCCCCTTGCGCCCCCCCCCCCCCCGGTGCGAAGGCGCAGTTCGGTTTGGTGGGGGGGGGGGCGCTGTAAAAGAACGTGGCTGCTTAGCGCAGGCGCACGCGTTCTCGTCTCCTTGGTCCTGACACCGGTTCTGTGGCGTTAGGAGCCGCGCCTAGACCTGGAGCTCCAGGAGGAGACTCCTCCTTCCCCTTCCTGCGCTCTCTGCTGTGGGGCTGGAGGCTTTCCCCGAGAAGGGCAGTCCCCGGTGGGGTTGTGGCGCCAGCTCCGCCCGGCTCTTGCTGGATGGGGACTGGGAACATGACTTCGGGGCGGGGCTGAGGGAACTGGCCTAATTTAGTCTGGAGGAGAGAGACACAGGGGGGGATGGGATACAAAGACTGAAGGGTGACTGGTTACAAAGAAGATGGAGCTAGACAGGGGTGGGCAAAATATGGCTCGTGGGCCGGATATGGCCCGACTGATTGGATCCGGCCCAAGCTGCCCCAGCAGTACTCCTCTTGGGGCTGAGCTCCATCAGCCTGTGCTCGGGACAGCAGGCAGCGCAGGGAAGTAGTGGCGGCTGTGGGGATAAGTACTGGGCACCACACACACAGCCACGCGGGAGGGAAGCTGCAGATGGGTAGCTCCTGCCCCAGCACTTGGGGACCCAGCTCCCTGCTGCCTTCCGCCCACTCTGCCACCCACAGGGGGTGCTTATGGTGCCAGGCAAGTGGAGTGGAAGGCAACTGGCAGCTGGAGCTGCAGCCCTGTGTAGTGGGGCAGGAGCCACCTGGCTGCAGCTTCCTCTGCCTGAAGTGGCACAGCAGGGGCAGGAGGAGGAGAAACTACTGGAGGCAAGGGGAGCTGAGCAGCACCTCCTCCCTGGAAGCTGTGCGCACTGGCTGGGACTGGAACTGTCTAGCAGGTGTGGGCAGGGGCATGTGGTGCTGGGCTCTGTGTGGAGTGCCATGGGGACCCTGGAAAGGCAGGGGCAGCAGGGAATGTACCAGCACCCCCCTTGTGAGCTCTGGTGCATGTACACCCTGCTTCCCCCCTCTCCCTCCACCCCAGCAGGCTCCTGGGACCAACCACACACGCAGCCCCTCATACACAGGTGCATCCTCACAGACCCCTCCCCCCTACACACACCACCCCCACTCCTATGCACAATATACAAGTTACACTTTATTTTGAGCTATTATGCAATCACCTCTATATATGCTACTCCAAAAAAATAATTTTTGTCCTGATTTATGGTTTTTTTCTAACTAAAATTAAAATATGCTCTAGCAGACATTTGATTTTTAGTATATTTGTTTTTTTCTAATCTATAATTTGTTAAAATGATCTCTTCTGAAAGATTTTATGGGTGCAGCCCTTGACTGCTGATCAAAACTCATTCAGGGTCCCACAGCCAAAATAACTGCTCACCCCTGAGCTAGACTGTTCTCAGTGGTGGCAGATGATGGAACAAGGAGCTGGTCTCAAGTTGCAGCAAGGGAAGTTTAGGTTAGATATTAAGAAGACCTTTTTTACCAGTAGGGTAGTAAAGCATTGGACCAGGCTCCCCATAAAGGCTGTCAA